ATACATAGACCCGGCAATATTGCACACGACCCGTTAACACGACACGAATTCGCACGAAATTATCAGTATTTGGGTTGAGCTTATTGGGTCGGGTTGAAAACGGGTGAACCCGTTAGCCACCCGTTAAGCTAACGGGTCGTTTCGGGTCGAAAACGGGTTAACCCGTTACCACCCGTTAAGAAGGTTAATTTTGTAATTTTGCAAAATATTTTTCTTTTCTTTTCTTCTTCCCCTTTTCTTTCTTCTTTCCGTGTCTTTTTCTTCTTACCTTTTTGTCTTTTTCTTCTTTCCCCTTTTCCTTTTCTTCTTCCTCTCGTTCTTCTCTTCTGCTCTGTTCTTCTCTTTTTCTCTTCTGCTATCTTTTTGTCAAGATTCTCTTCTGCTCTTCTTCTCTCCACTCAATAGACTCCGCCAACCCAGCCACCAGGGATGACTTCGCCAACCCAGCCACCAGGGATCAAGGAGGAGGTATCTAGGTCGGTCCACAGAGGGTGATTGATTCTAGAGTTGTTGGTTTTGGTTCTCTCAGTTAATTTTGAATTTTCTTTCTTCCTCAATTTATTTAGTTGTTAAGTTTTTAAGATATCTGTGAGAGAGAGATATATACTGTTTTGGGGTGAGAGGACTGAAATGAAGAGGGAAAGAGGGAAGAAAAGTTAGGGTTGGGGTTTGGGGGAAAAAAGACAGAGAAGGCGTGTTGGTAGAGAAGCTGTGATAGTTTTTTTTTTTTTTTTTTTTTCTTTCTGGTTTATTCTTAACGGGTTAACGGGTCGTGTCGGATATTCGCGAATTGTAACGGGTCGTGTTTGGGTCTAGTATTTGTCACCCGTTAACTTAACGGGTCGTGTTCGTGTCAACCCGTTAAGAAAACGGGTTAACCCGTTAACGACCCGGAACCCGTTAAAACGACCCGTTTGCCAGCTCTAACGGAAAGCAAACGCCCACGACAATTGAAACGTCAACAAGGCAAAAAAAGAAGGGATGCAACACGAGGACTTCCCAGGAGGTCACCCATCCTAGTACTACTCTCGCCCAAACTCGCTTAACTTCGGAGTTCTGATGGGATCCGGTGCAT